AAGCTTATGAAAACATTGCACTTACAACAACAAAGACGAGGAAGAGATGATGATCTTTGGTGCCATTTTCCAATAATTTGGCAGGGACACGCATCTGATCGAACGCATCGAATCAACCTACTTGACGTAGAAAGGTTTGCCTTTCAAGTCCTTGACGAGGCGAAGGCACCGTTTGGTTTTTTTTCGGAGTTTTGTGCAGTTTCTGTTTTTCTACCGCCTGGACTGGACGGACGGCACAGGACGTTGGCGCTGGAGTTGCGAGATGGGCAGGGATCTTGTGCCTCTCGGCTGGTTTACGGGCTTGTTCGGGATACTGGATCAGCTAGCGACCCGACATCGACGTTCTCTCTCTTTCTTTTACCTAATGTCGTATGCTAATAGCTAATATCAACAGAATTATCGTGCTCTACACTAAGAACGCACCTGCCAACGGGAACGTCGCCATCCTGAACCAGGCCCACACGCTTGCTTTTTTACAGGCGGGACCACAATAGATTTTCCCCACAAAGAGGATCATGCCAGCCGCCCCAGCTCGCCGACACGAGAGTGAAGCAAAACATGCTGCAAGCACATTCAAGAGCTTTCTCTCCGCATTGGCCAACAGCAGACGCACCGCGAAGCAGGAAAAGCTCAACCAGTTTCAAATGCCCACCCAAAGCCGCCATCGTTAATGCATTCTCTCCTCTCGCGTTTACTTGATGAGTTTCAATATCGGGGGCTCGCTGTAAGAAGAGCCCAGTCAAACGGTAAAATCGTCTCCGAAGCGCAATTATTAGGGGTGTGTCGCCACTGCTGTTTTGAACATTGACACTCACCCCATGATCCAGGAACAGCTCCACCAACTCATCCACACGATGGATATTACGGAAATAACAACTCGGAGCACAAACCAAATGCAGCGCTGTGTTCCCGCCTTCGTCTCTGGCATCTGGTCTGGCGCCAGCATCAAGCAACACCTTCGCAACTCCTTCGTTGCCACTGGAAACGGCACAAAGAAGCGCAGTGCGACCGTCGCTGCCTCCTTGTGTGTTCAAATCTGCCATGGCTCCATTGCCCAGCAAGAAGGTTATCAAATCGGCTCCCCTCTCCGTGCTGTGGCTGCAAACTCGATGAAGAGGAGTCATACCTTGGTTGTTCCTTGCATTCACATTGGCCCCAGCAGCAACAAGCAGTCCCAGCACATCCAACTTTTCGGGGTGTCTAATACACGCAACGGAAAAAGGCGTTGCCCCTTCTTGATCTCTTGCATTGGGCTCTGCTCCACATTCCAAGAGCTGTCGCGCGGCTGAAATCAGTGTTTCACTCCTGCGGAGACGCGAATCACAAACACAGGCTAGGGGAGTTTGTCCTCGGCGATTGACTGCATTCACATCTGCTCCCTTTTCAAGCAGTGCAGTGATAAGTTCCGGGATTCTGTTTTCGAGGTTGGCACGAGGGGCGCCAAGGGCGCATGATACGTGGAGCTGAGTTTCTTCGTCGCCTTTGTTTCGAAAGTTGATGTCGGCCACATTGCCCCTGATTTTTTGTTCGGCCACATCAAAGGCTTCTGTGACGTTATTATTTCGTCCCTCGTCCCGAAAGCGGGCAAAGTTCAGCTTTGCTGCCAAGGCACCGATGGTCCCATGGCATCTTCCAAATATTCCGCAGTTTCCGAGTGTCCATTCAGGGTCGCCAGACACATAGCAGTACTTCTACGAGCGAACTGCTCCGAGGGAAAGTTTACCGTGGAGCACATCACATTGGCACCAGCTTCCTGAACAAGATATCGAACTATATCAGTGTGCCCACGAGAACCGGCATGCAACAGCGCAAAATCCAGTTTTTCTTGTTCACATTTCTTTTTTTTCAGGAACCTTCGAAGACGCCGCAAGTCGTTCCTTTTAACTATTCGGATGAGTTTCGTTACCATGGTTGTTGTGATAATAGTTTTCCTTTGTGGGCGGATGTTATCAAAGGAAATAATGAGACAGTTCATGAACGGCGAGGAAGCACAATCTCCACGTTCGAGCCAAAAGATCACGTTTCGGGTCGAGCTTGGCGATACCGGTACGGGTTACCATAGGGTTAACCTGTGGGGCTTCATTATCCCTTTTCTCCGTGCCAGGACGGTTAAGTAAAAGTGGAAAAAGTTGGATTTTTCGGTAAACTGACTTGAAGGTTCCCCTATCTTAAACAAAATGTCTCCTTTTCACCCTTGTTGAAAAGTGTTGAAAAGTGGTTCATAATTGTTGAAAAACTGTTGAATAAGTGTTGAATCCTGTTGGAACCCTGTTGAATTACTGTTGAATCTATAGTCAGTGGAAGTGTGGAAGTTGTTGAATAGGTGTTGAATCCCTGTTGAAAAGTGTTAAATCTCTGTTGAATTAGTGTTTAAAGGAGATTCAACAGTGTTGAACCATTTTCAACAGTTTCAGTGCTGTTAAATCTAGAAATTCAAAACTTCAACATTTTTCCTTTCGAAAACCCCATTTTCCCCAAAGTCAACTTTTACTTAACCGTCCAGAAAGCAAAAAGGACGTACAGTTCACAGATCACAGATCTCACAGAGCAAGTAGTCTATAAAAGAGCCATGAGCATCTCCACCGACGACAACGACAAGATCCTCTTTGTCCAAACTGGTGGGACAATCGACAAGGATTATCCCCGCAGCACTGGTGGCTATGCGTTTGAGTTTGGAGAACCCGCCACCATTCGGCTGTTGGATCGGCTGCAGCCATCGTTTGCGTATACCGTTGCGACCGCATTTCAAAAGGACAGTTTGGAAGTGACGGATCAAGACCGAGAAGAATTGGCCACCTTGATTGGAAAGGCTTCGGAAAGTCGGGTGATTGTCACACATGGTACCGACACCATGATTGATACAGCCAAATATCTACAGCTGGCCAAGAACGAGCGGTTACTAAAACACAAGACGATTGTACTCACGGGGGCCATGCGACCCGAGCGGTTTAGCAATTCCGACGCCCCACTGAACCTTGGAGCGGCCATTGCAGCCGTGCAACTGGCACCCGCGGGGAGTGTCCTTGTCACCATGCACGGTGTGGTTCGACCGGCTCAGGAAGCCACCAGGGATATGGAGACTGGGCAATTCAAGTAGATACCTTTTTTGATAACAGAGATACTTGCCTAATAGACCAATACCCGACAACCAACAGCATCTACACTACAATCTAGTTCATAATTGATATCTCAACACGACGTTCTATCTTGCTTGGATTTAGGCAGATCCCAATAGAAAAGAACAACCAAGAGTTTCTAGAAGTCGTAGCCATTTCTTCCAGGATGTAGTATGTCATCCATCCGAAACAGCCACTGTAACACCACCATCCAATTCCTATATACCGTACCAAAATCCATGCAGTCAGGTAGCTAACCTAGCTAGCGGTAAATACAACTACTATCTGACCATTCGAATAATTCTCGATTTTGGATTCTCTATGGTTGCGATTGTTCGCCAACGCTCCATTTGCTTTGCTTGTACCGTACTAGCTTGACCATTCATCACCATGTCTGTCATCTTATTTTCCAAGGAATCCAAACGGGTTGAATCCTTTGGAGTCATACGCATCCATCAACTTTCTGTAGTCGGGTTGGTCCTTGATGGGATCCAGATCGGGATCTCCTCGTACGGTGGAGAAGTTGTTGAATCCGTTCTCAAAGGCCATTTGTAGGTTGGCAATGGACTAGTAAGTTTGTCCATTTGTTGTTTTTCAAGAAATCCATATCATGTTTGTTGGTTTGGTTTGGTTTGGTTTGAATCATGAAATTGAAGGCGAAGAGATGATGATTGTTGTGGATGTTGTAGTATAGTATAGCATAGCATAGATAGACAGATAGATGTGATAACAGCAAAGACACCGTGAGCATATCATCCTATTGAACCCAAATCAACTCTGAACCACACCCAACAGACACGCACCTCATCTAGATTTCCAAGTTGTGCGTGTACACAGGCAATGTTATAATGTGCTGCTTGTAATTCGAATTCATCCAGGGGATAGACGTTTTGGCTTTCAAAGCCACCCATGGAACCGCCCACTGGACTGGGACCTGACACGGACTTTGTTCGCACAACATCCTTGTTGGATCCTGGAAGCTTCATTCCTTTTTGGAAGACTAAAGACAAGAGACGCATGTAAGAATCGAATGCATACAAGGAGGCTTCTGTACTCATATCCTTTTCAGGGTATGTGTAACGTAACAATACCCTAATGTACGTACGTACCTTTGAGTGCTTCTTCGTAGTTTCCTTCTTGCATGAGTCGTAATCCCAGGACTTCGGCTTCTCGAAACGTTGTCAGGGAAGGTTCTGGAATGGCCGCACCTCCAGATGCAGCCACATCCGCCGTCATGTAGGGCTGCTGTCGTTGTTTTGGTTGCAGATTGGCAAATGCCATGGGTCGATTCGGGGCGACAAAGCCAGTCGCCATAGTCAGTGTCGCCACAGCTACCAACAAGCTGAATAGGTTGGATCGTCTTTGGTAGGTACTCATCTTATTATAATTCTTTTCTTTTATTAGAATGTATATATGTGATAAGGGACAGCAGATTGTTTCAGTGTGGATGGATCTGGTATAGTACTGGCTAGGAGGAGGATAATCAATTGGAATGAAAATGAGATGAAAACAACAGCTGGTGTCTTTCTCTTTTTGATGTGCAAATCGGAGTTGATCTTTTGTCTTTTAGTTTGCCAATTGATGCTATCGAAATACTTATTTTGTACCTCACTTTGTTGGCTCTTGTAAAGCGAGCCACAAATGGCGCCCGAACTGTACCATCGCAAAGAAGCAGGAGGCAGATGTCAACTCCAACAAATCTCTCGCTTCATTAGCAGTTCCAACGCCCAGCCATCATGTCGAAAGAGCTTCTGTGGTGGAGGCCCACGTCAGTGACAGCCAACCAAATCATTACGAGCTTTATGTTTTATTAAATAAATCTACTACCATACTTGGTAATGAGGATGACGGTATACCCCCGAATTTATTGGCTTCTATAGCTCATCTGAAACTGTACAAGTTCAAGGATCGCCGATTTTGCAACACGTACCTACTCAATTCGAATGAATTATTCGAATTTCATTCGTCCAATTCGATCGAGATTCTGGCAGGAACACCTCAGCCGACGAAACAAACAGAACACCCAAGCCCTCCTCGACAACCAGGGCTACCCCAACCAACGCCCTGCCGATATTGGCATCTCCCTCAACTCCTCCTGCCTTCGACCTCCCCCTACCACTCCATCCTCTTTCCTTGCTATCGACATTACTGTTACCAGCCCTCCTGAATCCTCTTGTGCCGGGTCTGCCCACCAACCCAAAACCCTTTCCCAGGCCCATCTCAAGTCGATTCGAAGTAAGCTTACCACAAAATCTCGCACTGTCCCTGCTGAATACTTTTCTGCTCTCCAAAACGCAGGCATCATCCTGCTCCCCTTCACAGTGGACCCATTTCTCGGACTGGGCCCCTTTGCCCATACCCTTCTCTACGGCTCCGCTCGCCAACCATTCCCCCTCCCAGCACCCCCATGGTCTGCCAAACTCCCCACCCACTCCCAACGCTCTTACAGCCAACTCCTTTCAGCCCCAACCGCCATTCTCCCCACTGCTGATACACACTTTGTCACCCCCCAACTACTCCATTGACACCCAACCCTACACACCTTCACGCTGGGCACACCAATCCCTTGCCCTCAATCTATCTACCCACTTAGCACAACACTTTCAACGCGCTATTACACGCCAAGCTCGATCCCTCTATTCCTCCGGCTCATCCCCGTCCTCAGTCCTTGCCGGTCCATATATGCCTACTTCACGCCCAGAACCCCTTGATCCCTTCCCCTACTTTTTACGAGCGGACGTTACCTAGTACCGTTCCTTTCACGTAATCCCCTTTATAGTTATTTATTTATTTCCTACTGCATTACATCCTCATTAGTCTAGCTAGCTACTAGAGAGCTAAAGCTTTCTTCTTCCATTGCAAAGAGGCAGTGCTGTGCTTGCATTATCTATATCTCCTTCTCCTGCTGATCGAAAAAGTCGACAATTTACCTCATCGAAAAAGACGCAAAAACACTACCATGCCCATTCAAACTCGCGTCACAAAACTGTTGGGTATCGAACACCCCATTGTCATGGGCGGCATGACGGGTGTCGGTACCGTCGAATTGGCCGCCGCCGTATCCAATGCCGGTGGTCTCGGCATTTTTGCCGCTCACAATGCCGGGAGTCCCGAAGGCTGTCGGCAATGGATTCGTCGCATTCGGACTTTGACAAACAAACCCTTTGGAGTCAACTTGACCATTTTGCCCACACTGGGTCCTCCACCGCCCTACCAAGAATACGCCCAAGTCTGTGTCGATGAAAACGTTCCTATTATCGAGACGGCTGGAAGCAATCCCAAACCGTTTATTCGATTCTTCCAAGCGGCCGGCATCATCACCATTCACAAGTGTGTTACCATTCGACATGCCCTTTCGGCGGAACGCATGGGAGTCGATATCATTAGTTTGGATGGATTCGAATGTGCCGGACATCCGGGAGAAGGAGATGTGGGCAATTACGTATTGCAAGCCAAGGGGGCGCTCGTCTTGAAGAAAACACCCTTCATCTGCAGTGGTGGTGTCGGCGATGGCAAACAAATTGCCGCTGCATTTGCACTGGGCGCCGAAGGTGTCAATTGCGGTACTCGATTTTGTGCCACGCAAGAATGTCTCTGGCCAGAATCGTTCAAAGAGCGCATGCTACACGCCACGGAAGAAGATACCGTCCTCATGTTTCGACACCTCAAAAATACTACGCGGGTATTTGCCAACAAGGTGGCCAAAGAAGTGGAAGATATTGAATTGCAAAAAGGAGCCAACGTGAAATTTCAAGATTTGGCACATCTCGTCGCCGGCAAACGAGGACGAGCCGCCGAACAGGCTGGAGATGCCGATGGAGGTATCTGGACGGCGGGACAAGTTATTGGACTCATTGACGATATCCCGACGGTCGCGCAATTGATGCAACGAATGATGGCGGAATGTGAAGACACTATTCGGGGACGACTGAATAGTATGTTGGCAGTGCCATCGAGATTGTAGTAAAGAAATGATTTTATTTTGAAGTAGTTAGCAATGTGTGGAGGTTGTTTAAAAAGGGTACTAGCAAGATGGCGTTTTCTACGATTCGATGTCAAGCATACCGTGAACGTATTCACCGACTAGGCTTATTCGTTGTTGGCATTCAATCCTCATCATCACCACTGATGCCGCTCTGATTTTCACGAATGTCTCCATCCTCAACGTCCCACCCACTGGTTCTATCTTCATCCACTTCTGGGCACCCATTCTGTCGGGCCCAAGCAAGAATCTCCCGGTGGCCAAAAAACTTTGCCTGCATGCATGTCTGCCAATCCCATTCACAACCATTCTCACGTGCCCACTTGAGAATATTCAAATGGCCGTAACCAGCAGCAGAACTGCAAGTGTTTGCATCCCATGGACACCCTTGTGAGCGAGCCCATTTGAGGATTTCAAAATGGCCGTTACCAGCAGCATCTGAGCATGTCTGCTCATCCCATGGACATCCTTGTGATCGAGCCCATTTGAGAATTTCGAAATGGCCTTCATGAGCAGCAAAATTGCAAGTATTTGTGTCCCATGGACATCCCTGTGAGTGAGCCCATTTGAGAATTTCGAAATGCCCGCCTTGTGCGGCTCCAGTACATGTCCATGAATCCCACTGGCATCCATTCTCATGTAACCATTTGAGAACTGTCAACTGTCCATCCCTGGCAGCAAAAGAGCATGCTCTTGAATCCCAAGGGCACCCATTCTCATGCAGCCATTTGAGAACTGTCAACTGCCCCCCCTTGGCAGCATAAGCACATGTTATGGAATCCCAAGGGCATCCATTGTTGTGGGCCCACTTGAGAAGCTCCAAATGACCATAATACGCAGCATCTGAGCATGTGTCTTCATTCCATGGAAATCCATTTGTTCGGGCCCATTGAAGGACTGCAATACTTCCAACTCTGGCGATTTCCTTGCAAACGCCACCAAATAAGGGTAGTTTGTTGCTTGTGTTATCAGAGTTCCAGTATTTGGCACATGACACGCTGTAAAATACAGCGCTGCAGAATGTGCGGATGCTGATTGCTGAGCGTTCAACCTCAGATCCCCGCTCATCCAGCTCAATGATTTTTGGAGGATTCTTTACTGTATCACAGTACTCCTTGTAGAGCTGGTTCATTTTCTTGCTGACCGCACCCACAAAGGCGTAATGGCCCATGCCAAGGAAAGGCAAGATCCTCCCAATCCAAATATCATCTGTTCGATCCAAGAGCAGATCAACTGGAGGGGAGAGCTTCTGCTTTTTCCGACTGGCCTCGTTCGAAGAAGGCGACATGGTTGATGGATAGAGTGCTCAGTACACTTCGGAAGTGGTCTGTGGAGTTGCGCCGAGTTGATACGGGTGCCACCTCTCTTCGTTGCGGACAGGCATCGGAGCCAATGCCGCGCCATCGTCGCTTCCCGAAGCTTTGCTTTCCTGAAAGAACCCTAGCCCTAGTGACCTCCAAAGTGGTTTTCTGTTGGAGTCTTGGGAAGAACGGATGACGTCAGTAAGCTGAATGAATGGTAGTTGAGAAAGGAAGATCGCCATTGGGTGATCGTCTCTCGGGAATGACGAATGCCCATTTTAAAATCACAACTCGATCGGCTGTCAAGCAACCAGAGCCCCCATCCCAAGAAGTGACAGTGTGTGCTAGCAAGCAAGCTCTACTAGAAGGGAGGCCGTGTGGACAAAGGATAGGCGTAGCTGTACTGTCTGATTATCAGAAGTTTTGGATCCCCTCTCAAAAATTGCACCGAGCAACCAAACCTCCTGTTCGGCTTTGTTTCTCGCCAGGTGGAACCCACACAACAATCAGTTTTTTCACCATTCCCATCGGCGCTTCGTAAACTGGTTGAATATTTTGTCTGAATAGTGCGAGATGTACAGTGTCAACATGACAAGATCGCTATGGGCTGCGTCTCTCCTTTTGTGTCTGCCAAGCTCGGGTGCGTTTACCACGCTGCTCCCGAAAAAGACGACCAGAACACCTCTGCACCAAATAAGGATGATGAACAATAAGGATTCGGAAGACGACCTGGTGACATCACGGAACCCCCACAACTTGGCCAATGGACGAGGGACCTTCTTGGGATTCCAAAATGTACACGACTTCAAATCCAAGGCAAGATCCTCTTCGGCACTGAATAGTGAGGCATCAGCCCTGATACCCGATGGTGGTTTGAGTCCTTGTGTCATTCGAGTATTGGGAGTTGGAGGAGGAGGTTGCAATGCTGTAAGTTTATACTCGCAAAAACGTCAGATCTTGCCTGGCTCTGCTCTGGTATCTAATATTCTTATGTTTCCTCCAATACTGTTTTACACGGACCACCATCGATAGGTGGACCGAATGTTGGAAACAGCCGTGGGTGGTGTGGAATATTGGGCCATTAATACGGATGCCCAAGCACTAGGTCGTTCCAAAGCCTTGGGAGCCAAAGTGTTAAACATTGGGTCGGCTGTTACCCGTGGATTGGGCGCCGGTGGAGACCCTGATGTAGGACGCATGGCGGCGGAGGAGTCCAGAGAGGATATTGCTCTAATGGTGGAAGGAACCGATCTGTGCTTTATCACCAGTGGTATGGGAGGTGGAACCGGTAGTGGAGCCGCACCTGTCGTTTCCGAGATTGCCAAGGAAAGTGGTGCTCTGACCGTGGCCATTGTCACCAAACCGTTTGCCTTTGAAGGGCGACGACGCATGCGACAAGCTACCGATGCCATTGCCAGATTGAGGGAGTACGTCGATACGGTGATTGTCGTGTCCAACAACAAACTACTCGAAATCATTCCAGATGATACACCCGTCACAGCGGCATTTCGTGTGGCTGATGATATCTTGCGGCAAGGAGTTGTTGGCATTTCCGAAATCATCGTTCGACCCGGCTTGATCAATGTGGATTTTGCGGATGTAAGGTCCGTGATGAAAGATGCTGGATCGGCATTGATGGGTATCGGTACGGGTGTAGGAAAGACCAGCGCCGAGGATGCTGCAATTGCTGCCATTTCTAGTCCACTTCTCGACGAACCGGTTCAGGATGCTACAGGCGTCGTCTTCAACATTTTGGGTCCACGAAACTTGTCGTTGCAAGAAGTGAACCGGGCGGCACGCGTTATCTATGACAATGTTCACGAGGATGCAAATGTCATCTTTGGGGCCCTCGTCGATGATACCATTGAGGACGAAGTTTCCATTACTGTGCTAGCTACTGGCTTCAACTCTGCGGCTGCCGGAGTCGGGGACCCGGATAGCTTCCCAGATTTCCTGTCGGAGAGATGAACCCAGTAGAGATGCCTTTAGAATTCGCGAAAAGATTTGCTGTCCCATTCTAGGAATTCGAAACGTACATTGGAATGGACAGCTTCACGTTGGTGTTGCTGCGCGAGGGACGCTGCTGGTGAACTGGGAAGTTGGTTTATGTTACCTTGGAGACTCGAATCGAATCCGCGCTCACAAGACAGCAAATAACCATGGAAAACGTTTGCAAAAATGCTAGAGTAATTATAGTCGCCGCTTGCGTGCTATGTATGTGTAGGGTAGACTTGGAAACTGTCACAATAGTGAGTGCTCTCAGGGATTGCTGAGTGCTTGGAGGCAGCATATCAGCTGTAGATGTTGATTGTAAAGCCTTCCGGAGATGATGGCGGACGTGCAGTTGATACAGTTGTCGTATGTACCTTCAAAGGATACCGATAGGATGGATCCTATGTTTCGATGTTTGCTCCTCAGCTGGTCTTCACGTCTAGTCTCCAATGGGTTGATAAGCAGTCGAGACATTCACTGTTCGTGCGTGCTCTTCAGAATAGACGTTCTTCCGGTCACCAATTTTGATATACTTCAGGTCTGGGAACTTCCCTGAGGCCTTCATCTCTTGAATCAGCCTTGTTGCAAATGTGCTTTCAGAGTGAATGAGTTGATTACATGATTTGACCATCTCAAAGATTGCTAGCAACATAATGACTTCAAAGACCGGTTGCTTTGATGGAAACTGATTCTCAAATCCTCCTTCGAAAGCCCGGAAGCGGGGTCGATGCATATACATCCAGTTGTACTCTGGGAACTCTTTCTGTGCTTCAACAATGGCATTGGCATCATCTGTCAAAAGAAAGATGTTGTGTTGAACGTTGTAGGAATTCTTCATGTAGTCCTTGATTGGAAAGTACTGTCGCTTTAGTTGATCCTTGTGGAGGACTACATCTGAACGGCGGACGTGCATTGCCGTGCAAGGTGTTTTGATTGCTTGTCTTTTTCTGAAATCATAAACAAATTTCCGAAGCCAAGTCTGCCGCCGAGTGGCATATTCATAGTACCATTGATAGGTTATGGTGTCAAAGAATGGCTTTTCCAACAGGACTCTTTTGTCACCTTCAGGGGCAGCGGGGCAGTTGGATAAGGGAAGAAAATAGCAAAACATTGTTCCTCGCTTGCAGGCAGGTTGGATTCCCTTGTAGGCAGCAAAGTGTGGCTTGGCCCCAAACGGGTCAGCATAATGCCAGGGTGCATCGACAACTTGCATTGGTCGGTTGTTCAAAACAGCATGCTGGAAACCATCGATGACATTCATGAAGTCAGCATTCCAGCCAGAACTCCACATTCGTTTGGTCAGTGTATTGCTGCAATTCCCTTCAAATTGTATATGGTGTAGTTTGACAAGAAGTTCTCGCTTTTCCACATTTTGAATTCTTTGGAAACAGTAGTGGGTATCATTTTCCTTTCCCATTTCCCAGTCTGGTTTGTGTACCCACCATTCATCAGCACTCTGGGACCACGGGACACAGAACTCTTCCTCCTTATCTATGGGAGCACTTGTAACGTGTATTGCTTCAGGCCGTTGACCAGAGTTGACTTTTGTAGGAGCCCTCGAGCTAGCTAAAAGCTTGGGATCACTGGTCACGGTTGTGTTTGCCACAGAGCTTGTGTTGTAGGATGGTGGCGCAGTCTGTGCTGGGGCTTGGCTGACTGTCTCGTTCCTGAGTGGCGCTGCTGTGATAGCGTTTATTTGTGCTGCGGCATTGGTGGTTAGCTTGACAGTTGACCCAGAATCCCAACTAGTCCTGTTGTTGGTCTCAAGATCGTCCGCAGTGATTGTTGTGGTATTGGAAGTCTGGTTGAGGTGCAACTCACCCTGTTTGGCATTGCTATTTGTGGGCATCATGGATCCGGTCTTGTCTGCTAGAACCTCTATGGCAGGTGCTGTTTCGCTGGAAGACAAACTATTGCTGGTCGTTGGAAATTCTGTTGGTTCCATGCTGCTAGGCTCGAGCGTCTCGTCAAGGGAAATTGTACTATCCCTGGTCATTGGAACTTCTGTAGGTTGCATGATGCTAGGCTCCAGTGTCTCGCCAAGGGACATCGCAGGTTCTACCGTGTCGGAAAGAGAAGACGGCATTTCCGTTTTACGACTTTCGTCAGGTTTCATCGTGGAGATGAAGAAGGACGGGGAATTGACGCTGCTCGGCTCACCTGAGATATTTCTCGCAGAACCAGAGGCTGCATTGTTTGCCTCATTGATGGTCTCGCTTGAACTGTTGTGCGATGAGCTTCTTGTTTCGGCAAGTCCCGCTGATCCACTGGTGGTCTTGTCCTCTGGTTTCTGTTTTGAGACGTCATTGGTAGGTGGTACGTTTGTACCGATAGGCTGTAAACGCAAACTAGCACCATCGTTTTTCCTATGCACTCTTATGCGAATGTCAGTGCTGAAGAAGTTATTGGCAGAGTCTCTTGTCTTGCTCGGAACGTGCAATCTCATCATTGTCGTAGTTTCATCCTCTGTGTCATGAATGGGCGTTGTGTGAGGTGGCATCTGAACTTCTGTTTGAACAGACTTGATCCCAAAATTTGGAGGACTGGTTTTCCTGAGAGGTCTTGCATTTCTGACAAATTCGCTTGACAGATATTCTTCCCGAATGCTCGTTGTCTGCAGTAACCCATCAAACGTCACAACGGTCAAGAATATCACACCCAAGAACACCACGAGCACCTTGGCAGATACGCTGACAAGACGCCTCTTCACCACTACGGGTACCATCGTTCCGTGATTTTTCAACATCCTGCTCTTCCTTCGGTGGCTTTGGCTAGCTACCGGTAGGCTGAAGGAAACTAGCAAAATTCACTTGCCAGAGCTTTGAGGGTGGGACCTGGCCAACTCCAGCATCTGGCAACTTTGAAAGATGGCCGACATGCAGTCGAGGCCACCGGAACATGTGATGAAAACATCAGAGCTGCTTTTACTTTGATTTGTCGGATTGTGATTCTAGCGAATCTCCGTTGTGCCTTCGCCGAATCCCCCCAAAAGCACCTCACTTACTTACTTCTACTTCTACCCCACATCCGAAACCAAAGGGTCCACCCCACCAACGGTACGATAAAAGCCCCAAAGTAGCTAGCTTGAAACTATAATCTAGCTGCCTAATCTGACCGCATATTTCTACGGAGCACATCTATCTGATCAGTTGCTATTGACCGGGTGGTGGGATTGGTTCGATTTTTGCAACCTGGATTGGATTCTCCTCGTCGGCATTGTGGAGTGATTCTTCGGGAGTCTCAATAAAAGTTGGGACGCCTTCGGCTACAAGCGCGGCAAACTCATCGCTGGAAACATCCACACAGTTGTCCTTGTCAATGGCAAAGCACAGGAACAGAACGTCCACTGTATCGAGAAAGACCCCTCCCAGGTAAGAGAAGAACATCATACCCAAGCAGGCAATGAAAGTCGCCGCCATGGGGGATACCCAATAGGCTGGGTCCAATCCATCCCACTTTGACAACCAACTATTGGTGAGGATCAGAACATACAGGCCAAGCACAGGGTACCAGATATTGAAGAGAGCAAAAAAGAGCCAACCCACAACCATGAGCGTTTCTTCGTTGACTCCAATGAATGTATCTGTTTTGAACTCTGCGTCAAGCCAAACCCAGGCGACAAAGTACAGGACAATGCTGAACACGTACGACCCCAGGGTGAGGACGCTACGGCTGGCGTATTCAGTGACAAAACCGCCCTTAAAGTGACGCTTCAAAATCTTGGAGACCTTTCGTGCAGACCCCATCCAACTCTTGCCTGTAAACACATGCAAAATGACACTGAATTTTGTCAACATTGCAATCAGCGTGCGTAAGCAGACACCAAAGACACAATAAATTGGCAGGATCACCCAAAAGACTGGATTGCAGCACTGCGTCCACAAAGTTTCGGTCAGAAGCATTCGATTGAGTTTGTCGGCGATGGCCGAGATAAGTGAAGCCACTGACAGACTTCCCATCGAGGTTGTGCAAGTGTTGATAATGGCTCGCATCAACCCGGGCTCTTTGTCGCCAGGATGGAAGTGGGATGATCCGATCACAGCAGCAATGATTGACAGTCGCATCATATGAAAGAGCCCGATGGACCAGAGGTAACAAAGACTCAAGTACGCAACAATTGGTGTAGTGTATGCCGGAGATTCATACTCACAGGAGGACTGACAGGATTGAGCCCCCGAAGTCAACGTGCGGCAGATTTGATTGTGCTTGACTGCCACAACTTCGAAAGATCTTGCAAAGAAGAGGACAAAGAGGTAGGCTTGGCCGGCATAGAGGAAGAGAATTGGTAGAAAGGCGAAGAACATGGTTGCATTTCGTTTGAGAGATTTTGCGGCTCGACGCAACACTTTGCCAGCAAACTTCAGCTTTTTGAAGGTGTAGATGTCCCACGCCACAATCGTCATGGCGCAGAAGAACGCGACCACGGCGGCACCAACAAGTCCCTCGACAAGCACCCGCACAGACAAGTACAGAAACAAGGCAACTTTAACAACTTCTGTGGCGTACACAATGGGAATACTGAAGAATCGAAGCAGGACCGCCCAAACAATGGCCATGGTCATCCCAAGGAGCGCAACGGCGATTGGTATTTCAGGGGCTTCCAAGAAAGCATCAAACATTCCGTCCCCAAACTCATACTTGGAGGTTCGCACGGCATTGTCTTCCCAAAGGTCGTCATCTTTCGGGTAGTCATCATCGGTAGAACTCTCGGGCAAAGCACGAATTGTTTGTGAAAGGCGTCGACGAAGGGCCGTTTCGGCGTTCAGTTCAGAGCACAAGTCGAACGAATATTCGTCGCTGGACAGCTTGTTGGCACAGCAAGTTTCCACATCCGCGCGAAAATGGCTCGAAATGACACGGACTGTTGCGGGAACTCCTGTATTGTTGTTTTTGTCGCCGTTGTTGATGACTTCAACCCAATCGTAACGTGGATGAGCGTTGGCTAGCAAGACACCTCCTGTGATGAAAAAGGAGACCATCGCGAGAAGGTAGAGAATGCCAAAGACCTTGTCATGGTACTTGCGGTGATGGGGCTGCCATTTCACTTCGGGAGAAACCGTTTCAGATTCAGCCACGAAAATGCGACGGCCGCTCTTGGAAACTAAGACCACGGGGATGCTCCCAGCGGCGTCGCCGTCGACGATCTTGTCTCCTGCCATTGTCGCCACTTTCAGAGATTCTTCTTTCGAAGCAGTTGTTGCGTTCGTCATGGTAATGTTGGTTGCTTGGTTTGCTTCTTCGCTTTTTGGGTTGAAAAGCCAAATTATTGTGTTGATAACCTCCCTACTCTAAACCCCCTTTGATGTTTTGTTCGGAACGAAAGAGGAAGATGAATGTGACACAACGAGCGAAGGTGGTCGTTGCTTGTCTCGAGACGTTATTAGTTCCGTTTCCAAAAGCGCGTCAGCCGAGTCGTGGTTTAACGTGTGCTTTGACTCCCGCGTTTCCGGAGAGGGTACCGGTACCGGTATGGTTACAGTATACCAGTACTATTATTACCGGTAGTACCGTAGCGTACGTGTACGACTGTACCGGTAGACGCATGACACAATACCAGAACGGGCGTGGAGATGGAATGACGGAATTCAACACGGCACGGTACCGGTACATCCAGGACCTCTGTGGAAATAGGTCATATTTTAGTCGTGTTTGGTTTTTAGTCGTGCCAACAAGCCGTTTCAGAACTGCCGACGTCACGTCTCCTATTTCATTTAGGAGACGGTCTCCTATCCAATTTTCAGTTTAGGAGACGTGCACGTCTCCTAAATCCAAATAGGAGACGTCTCCTATTTTCCATCAACCAAATAGGAGACGTGCATAATGCTTTAGGAGACGTGATTAATGCTTTAGGAGATGTCCGTTAAATCCATAGCTTTTTCATCCGACAACCAACCAACTCTGGAGCAATAGTCTAGCAATCTAGCTAGAGTATCGGTAGCGGTGTCGGTATTATCTTCATACAAAGAGATCAAGATGGCAGAAGACGACTCTTCTGATAGCGATATCTCAATCGAGAAGGTATATACGCCTAAAGAGATGCTCAAGCATGGACTCTTGTTTGCTGGAGTGAAAAAGAAGAGCATCAGAAAGTGCAAGAATGAAACCAACATCCAGAAGTTTATCGATCGGTATGGATCTTCACCGGAAGTCCTCTGCCACATTTGGGAGGATCTCCAACTTGCTCCGGACCCTGAAAATCGAGTCCGTGGACGGAAGTTGAACCTTGACTACTATCTGCATGCTATGCATTTCCTGAAGCGATACGAGGAAGAGTCCGAGCGAGCACTGAGCACTGGTTGGCATCGCGACACATGCCGTGACTGGGCTTGGTTTTACGTGGAGAAAATTCAGGCGCTGAAAAAGTCCAAGATCGTTTGGCCAGAAAAATACAACAATGTTGATCCTAGAAGATGGGCACTCACTATTGATGGAACGCATTGTTGGATCTGCGAACCCGGGCATCCAGAATTCTCTTTTGATTCCAAGTTTTTTTCTCACAAATACAACAAAGCTGGAGTGAACTATGAGATTGGCATTGACGTTGAAACGAGCAACGTTATCTGGCTCAATGGCCCATTCAAGGCTGGAGAGAAGGATGATTATACCTTCCGAGAGCGTGGTTTGAAAACCAAAATGGAGGAATGTGGAGTTTCCGGAATTGCCGATGGCGGATATTACGCTGTTGATCTTTTTGATGTTCTCAGCACCTACAATGCTGCCGACAAGCCCATCGTGAGAAAGTTCAAGCGAAGGGCTTTGCGTCGTCATGAGAAGTACAATGGGATGACCAAGACGTTTGGCTGCCTCTCGAAGAGGTTTCGCCATCCGATCTGGCGTTTTCCCCAGTGCTTTGAGGCAGTGGCCGTGATTTGCCAGTATCAACTGGAGCTCGGCCGCCCCCTTTTCAACATTCTTGTTGAGGGGATGGACGAGGAAGAATAACAGCGGCCTCCTCCTCGCAGCACGCAGTTTAGAAGTGTCAAAGGGTCACCTTTGACACTTCTAAATCAGATATATGGTAATTGTAGAATTGTTTTTTCAAATTGTGTTTTCTATTCTAGAGCTTCCAGCAGCAGTCGACAATCAACCAATGCGAGCAAGAGAAGTCATGTACGCGGATTGGCTGATGCATTGGTAGCCCCGTTAACGTTTTCTAGTTCATTTGTGTTGCTTGATATTGTTTCTACTTCTTGCTTTTTACGTAACAGTCAACCTACTAGTAGCTAGAGTTCTCAGTCAACGATTGCCTTCTAAAGAATTTCCCTGTCGCGTTCGTTGTCATCGTCGTCATCCAATGATCGTTTCTTTGAGTCCGTGTTGACAATTCCATCCATATCGCCGAACAGTTCTTCAGCAGCGTCCTCGAGCTTTTTCATTGGATCCTCCTCATCATCTTGGTCGTAGTCAAAATAATTTTCGCTACTGTCGTCTCCCTCATCGTCTCCCTCTTCCGAACCTGCCATCATCGCGTTTTCTTGTGAAGTCACGCCAGCAGTTACACCGACGCCGAGTGCACGTCCTAAGGAAGAAGCCGCAAGGTTGCCAAAAGAGGAGCCAATACTGAAACCGCCAGAGGACGTTGGGGGAGCTGGAGCCGGAATGGGAGTTGGAACCAGAGGCGGAGCTGGAACCGGAGGCGGAGCTGGAACCGGAGGTGGAGCTGGAACCGGAGGCGGAGACGGCACTGGAGCAGCAACGATGGTATCTAATGTGAAGAGAGAACAACAACACCATTATTTCTTGGTTACCAAAGCTAAAACAAAGAGCAGACGCACTCAAGCCGTACCAATGCTGTCTCCCAACCCGAGGGCCTTCAGCTGCTCTGCAACCGGATCCAATTTTTTCTTCTCTTCTTCTCGCTTTCCCTTTTTGCGAGACTCTAGATCCGTGCGAACAACAATCCAGCGGGCGTACACGTCGGTGCCCTGCGTCTTCGATTTGGTATGCTTCCATTTCACGTCGATGATATCCATGCCAAGGATTTCATCTTCTCCCGCTTCTGGGTAGATGACTTTGGAAGACAAATGATGATCCTCAAACTTCATGTGGTAGACAGAGAAAAAACGATTCTCCTCGTCGTCGCCATACTTGTCGTGAGCGTCGTCGAGAGAGTCTCGAAAATTGTCCATTAGCTTGTTGTTTGCCGCAAGCTCATCACGGCAGTTCAGCATGTTGTAGTCCCAAGCAGGAACCTTCAACTGTACCGTATCAGTGGTAAGCAATCGTCCCCTATACATCTCCTTCGTGGGATCATCGATCACGAAACGAATATCAACCTTGAGAAAGATAAAGTAGCCGTAGTACATGCGACCTTTCTTTTCTCCAACACCTTCAACTGTCTGGCCAACATCCAACACAAAGAAAGGACAGTTCCTTTCTGGGTGGGTGGTGTTGACCTTGAAGCAAACTAGAACAAAGAACATGTTAAGAACAAACAGAAAGCAAGAGCGACGAGGATGCAAGTCAAACAAGCAAATATAGATCGTACTGGGCCCATTAGCAGTGGTGGGATTCTCGATTCTCATGATTCCAGGTTGAGCAAAACTGCTTGGCAAGTCCTCTGGGATAGGCGATGGTTTCTTCTCAGCCTTCTTTGCCGAAGCTTTTGGAGTACTGAGCGGCTTTTTTTTGGCCTTAGGCGTAGTGAGCGGCTTTTTAAATCCCTTCTCAGGCTTTGCAGCAACCTTCTTGCTGCTGTCCTTCTCCGTGGAAATCTCCTGTGGAATGGGTGGTTGGCCTGCTTCTTGATCTTCGTCTGAGGTCAAGCTGCTGTCTTCAGAGGAATCTGAACCGGGATCAGTATCGATGCCAAACTTAAGCAGTACCTTCGAGTTCCACTGATGCTTGTCAAGCCTTTTCCACCGCTGGATCTTGTTTGATATCTGCCTTCGAATGTTACTAGCTGGCTCACCGTAGACAGACTTGTTCTTTTCGCTCGTCTTTGCTATGAGCTTCTCCAGATACCGATCTCCGAGCTTGTTGATATGATGGATACCACCGACTTGCCTTTGGATATCTTTTGCCACAACCTTTTGAACCGTGAATGATAATCCAGGCCTACTGCTAGAGCTGCTAGCACTTCCCTTGCTTCCTGGAGTTCCAACCGACGTTGCGTCCTCCTCGGCCCTCTTTGCCTTTCCTCTGGGTGATTTCAATGCAGATGAGCCTCGTCTCGTGGTCACCATTGTGAGATCTTTCGGCTGAATGGAGAATGGTCATGGGTGCTGCTGGAGTGAGATCCAGCCAGCTCAGGGCGCCAGCGCCTTGGCAGCAAGGTCATTGAAAGCTACACTTCAAGTATACAAACTGGACAATGACCTCGCTGGCAAGGTGCTGGCGCCCATGCCGAGTATTGAGCTGGCAAGCGCAATGGTATCTTTTGAATTATCTTTTTCGTACCACAGTTATCTTATTTTAACCACATACGAACTTGAGCCCAAAATAGCTCGCTCTGGCGCTGACCTCTCGCTCTTCGTCCGTGGTAGAGTCAATTGAAGATGAATACTTGACTTTAGATGGAGGGAGCAAGGGGAAGAGGCAGAGGCAGAGGTCGTGGCAGAGGTCGTGGCAGAGGCAGAGGTCGTGGCAGAGGCAGAGGTCGAGGCAGAGGAGAAGAGGATGACGACCCACCACCAGAGGAACTCGAAGTGCCGCTGGAAGAGATACCCGAAGATGAAGAAGTGGCATGGGCCTCAAGCGAAGCTCGCGCTTTGCTCTATCGAGACCTTGTCAGTGGTGTTGTGCCATTGGAGCCTGACCGTGTGGGAATGCCAACCCAAACTATTTTCACAAGCAGACCAGAATTTGCGACAACTGGCTACAGATTATTCTCAAGTCGATTATCAAGCCTCAGAAACATTGTGAAGAAAGATTTGGGTAGAGCAGATGCGGACAAGCAGCTATTTGAACGCTTCATAACAATGAATATTGCACACACTCACAGTCAACATGGCTATCCGGAATGGGAAGGATCTGACGCACAGAAACGGCTTCGAAGTGACCTGGATGAGGGGCTCAATGAAATTATGCTCCCTTCTGAGTTGTGGTGTTATCGAGAAGAATACGACGACTATCCTTTGAAAGTGTTTCGTGATCACATTTATCAAGAGCTCCGAACAAGAAAGTTTTACCACACACTCAAGGTCAAAGGAAAGAGTGGGATGAATCGAAAGGGAAAGCAGGGTACTACGTAGCTAGATAGTGCTATCTTTGGCACGGCTCTATATGGGTGGCTGCTAATAGCTGTCTAGTTGTATAGTTAGCATCATTGTGTTGTACAAGTAGTTGTTGATGTTGTTGCTTGTCGACACATTCACGCATCTGAGTTGATTTTGTGGCGAAGATTTAGGAGACGTGATTAGCGATTTAGGAGACGTGGCAGAGATTTAGGAGACGTCTCCTATCGCGTCTCACCGATTTAGGAGATGTGCACGTCTCCTATTTCAAAATAGGAGATGGTCTCCTATTTGGATTTCAAAATAGGAGACGTGTGACGTCATGTAGTCGTGCATGTGGTATTCGCGCAGGTTTCAAAATCAGTCGTGTTTAGCAAATGACCTATTTCCACAGAGGTCCAGTTGGTGGGGAACAATCCAAACTTTGAAGCTGCTCTAAAGAAACTTGCTGAAACCTGCTGGACCTCTGTGGAAACTCGAGTCGTGCTACTTTTCGTCTCCTAAATCCTTTTGATCGTCTCCTATTTAATGGATTTCGTCTCCAAAAAAAAGGAGACGAAACGGATCGTCTTCTAAATCTTTTGTCTCCTCTTAAAACGTCTCCTATTTTCAACGGATCGTCTCCTATTCTCAACGGATCGTCTCCTAAGTGTACCATGTAAACTGTATGGTATCATCTCCTAAATCTTTCGGATCATCTCCTATTTCGAAATTTTCGTCTCCTAATTGGAATGTCTCCTACTGAATCGTCTCCTAAATATAGGAGACGATTGCTTTCGTCTCCTAAATCATTTCGATCATCTCCTATTCCTCGCTGTATCGTCTCTTAAGTATTTTGCCACGTATGACGTTTCCACAGAGGTCCTGTCTACAGAAGGTAACCGCTCTGCCTGTGCCTCACACTAGGGTTTAGACAGCGTGTCAGGGAGCACGCACCGTGCAGACAGGTAACGGTACCCGACTGGATTCGATTCATTCTTCTGCGTTGAGCTCTTCGCCATCTGCTGCAATCTTTTTGGTACCAGGGTAGCTCACGCATCAAGTCTACTCGAAGATTGGAATCTACTACGGTAAGTTGTTTGCTTCTTCTTGTCCTATAAAATGAAATTGCTCTTTTTAACTAAGTAGCTAGCTAGCTGTCTCTGTGTATTGATAAATTGGTCCTGCTGTAGCTGGCCCATAGAGTCCCGCCTTGCAAGCTTGGCTTTTGGCCTCGATCTATTCACCCAGACGATGCTCAATTCCACTCGATTTCTTCCTGAAAACCCATGTTCCTCGCAATGTCTTCACCAACCTGCCTTTTGGACTGCGTTCCGGAGGCCTTGAGCTTGCTGCAAGGAGCACGTCAGAGACCACCATATCAACATTGCCTTCGCCTGATCTCCCCCAAGAGTTTTTGCAAGGTGTTTCCATTGGTAGTGATGGAACACACTGTGGGGTGAAAATTGTACAAGTAGCAGGATCGTAGCCGTGGCTTGGCTAGTTTCATCCGACAAGTGCTGGACAGCCCGTCGGACTCCAGAGCTCGCCCACTGCGCAAGTTTGTCTGGTGTCAGGTGGGAAGGTGGTGCATTCATGGGACTTTCTAGTACTTGCAAAACGTCCATTGAAAGAATCCCTTCGTTTTCCATTGTCTCCTTGTAGTTCCGAGTCCACATGACGAGTCGATAGAGGGCATTGGCTCTATCCCTACCGGCTAATGCAGCCCTCTGCAGGTGGTCAGGTAGTTCTGCTAATCGATTCGGATCTTCGGATGAGAACAATGGTCTTGCAATGCCAGGCTTGTGGGTGGCACTCATCCCTGCTTTTAAAAGCGGGTTGACGACTTGTTTCAGCAAATCTTTGACTTTAAGCGAATCATGCTTGATCGAAGGCCCGCGGCCAGGACGCTTTGCCTGGAACAAGACAGGTGACATCTGCTCCCCCAAGATTGCACTGATAACTCGATTCAAGTGAAAGTAAAGAAGGACGACAAGAGCAACTTCAGCCCTGCCAATGTCGGTGAGCACATCGTCCTGACGTGCCGACTGCTGCAAAGACAAGTCAAGTTCATCCTGGCGGTCGTTCAGCGTTGTATCTACAAGCTTATCTGCCAAACCCAATGCCTTTGCGTGGCGCTCATCATCGATTTCTCGTCGACAACCCCGTTTGCTTTCAGCATTGCGTGCCGCGGAGCCCATCAGTTGATGGACTGCGTCGCATAGCGGACACGCATTTTTCTTGGATACCAGTTCAGCGATGGCTTCTTTGGTTGATCGAGCTAACTCTCCTTCGGCTATCATGACCTCGGCTAGAAAGGACCACATTCGAGGAAAGAGATCATCGTCAACCGAGTGAAGAGTGATGGGATTGCTGCTGCCTCTGCTCATCACACTTCCCATGGGAAATAACTTTTTAATAGAAGCCCGTGTCTTCTGCGATGTGCCGGTTGCACTCGAGAGTGGAATTTTGATCTTCATCATGTTCTTGGAGTAATGTAGCGAATGCTTCTAGCGCTTTATGACATGTGTCTTCGATCGAGACAAAGCAAGTGGTCGAAAGAAATGGGCCGGCATTCCAGATTGATGTTGCTACAGGTAGCGATTGCTAAAGCTACAGCCTTCCGCATTCCGCCGGTTCTAACTATCATAGCGCCTAGTAGCTAGTATTTCGGCTAATACAAAATGTTTTCACTGGAGATCAGAGTTAATATTCATTTACAGCGGAAGCAACCACTGGTGCTGCAAGTTGTCAATGTCAACGGTGAAGCCCTACAGGTGAGGCCGCTTTTCACAGCAAATAAAATTGTGGCAAAAACAGAATTTTGTGGAGGGACAAGGCGAATTCAACGCTTGCAACTGTTGAAATGGGAAAAAGTGCTTGAGTTACTGTAGCTGTTAGATTTCTAAAGGTTTCGAATTGATCAATTTGGTTGGATTCATAAAATCGTGATTTTCGGCCTTTCAATCCAGCTGGAAATTTAACAGTTTTCATTACCAAATTCAACTTTTGCACCACTTTCCCCATCCAACACGTACGGTACCGTACCGGTAGGCACCGGTACCTACCAGTACCGGTGTACCGGTACCAGTACCGGTGTACCGGTACCGGCATTTGCCCTACTGTACTAGTGTACCAGTAGACCCAAATCCCTTGAACCTTCAAACCTAACTTTGTTTCTTGAATACCGGTACCTCATTTATGAAATGACAATACCGCGAGCAGAACGTTGCTGTAGACTGTTTAGCTTGGAACTGACTCGATGAATTGTTGCAGATTTCACGATCGCTGGTTCCAAGGAACGCACTTCACAGCTTTGAAATTTGAAAGGCAAATGTAGGCATGTAGGTAAGTGGGTGCAAGCTGCAAAACAACTCTTCACTCTTCACACTCCCACCACTCTTTTTTTAAAAAGTTTGCTTCAGTACTGATGGGATGTTATCAGTAGCACAAATAAACATCCATAATCCTGTACCGTACTGTAACTCAGCATCAGCAATCAGTGTGAAGTAATATCACAAAATCAATAGTGCCCTGGCTAGCTACCGGTAGGAAGACAGTGCTATGACCTTCCCACCTCACTAAGCATGCCCCAAGATCAAGAGAGCAAAAGCAGCTTATCGCCTGCCTCGTCGGGCAGAAATATCTAATGTGCCCAGGGGAGGAGAGCCTCCTACAGGGCATTCCTGGTGACACTGGATGGAGATACCTTTACTTTTTTAACACCTTTACTTTTACGGTACATGTAGACATGTAGTAGTAACTCTGGTAATGAGTGTCTCCAGTATCTTTTAGCATTCTGGCAACGTAATCCACACTCCAGCCACATCTCATCCGCTCCCGAGGCCTCGCTTAAACCCAAGGGACGGGTGCATTCTCCTTTCGATAGTGGCTGCTTCAACAATGACTGCCTTGGCACTTGGCAACAACTGCAGCGGAGAGGCATATGGCATATTCCATTCCAGGTTCAAAGAGAGCAATAGGGCGCAGGTCTTGTTCTGTCTTGCTCGTGGACAGTGGTCAAAGCAACCATGCCATGATGAGGCAGCGCCACTCTACCGGTACCTCCGTTGCTGTACTGGCTTGGTAGCTGCGGTACCCTTCACACTTCACACAATCACACAATGGTTCAATCGGCAATTTTCCAATCTTATCACATTTCTCCAAGGGTTCGCAATTGCATTTCTTGTGCCTCCGCACGCGCTGGGAAAGAAATAGCCATCGTGCCCTTAACTTCGTCTCGATGTCTCGATGCACTTGGATTCTGTACTCTGAGCTCTGAGTAGGGTTCTCTGGGTTTCAGGCTGATGACCTGAGCGCTATGTATCTATATGTATGTTTCTAAAATTAATGATCAAAGAATCAATGGCGTGGATGTTCTCCCTTCCAAATTGCGGTTTCACCATGCATGACTTACAACTTCATGGTGCGCAGTTTGCAAGCAATTTGCAAGATCCATTAGCTGATCCATTACAGCTGCTAGCTAGAGTAGAGTACCGGTACAAGCGATTGGAAGAAACCTAGCTCCAGATCCTAGGCCTGCTTGCATTTTGCATTAACTACTAGCGGTCATCTTGCGTAACTAGTACCTTCACAAGTCCCATTAATTTTCATTATCATCTGGCTTCTGTTCTCGTTGTTGTTCTGCACTACTGGCTAAAGAGCTAAAGCAACATTATTGACTTATCAGTTGCTTATTGACGGCAGCAGAAAGCAACGACGAGCCTCGCATACTAATGTAGTACATGTAGACTACTACTCCAGTAGCTACTAGTAGCTAGCCAGGACCTCCGCAAGGAAAATCACAGAAACATGCTTCGTTTGGCGGGATCGGCTTTGCATCTTCAAACTTCAAACGACCAAACTGTTACTCGGCAACTCTGCCGCTTGGAGTTGCGGGGATTGGCTGTTGGAGAACTGCCTATTGGGGCGAACTGCTGGATTTTAAAAGTAGATTTTCCACTTTGAGTCATGCGTTTTACTAAAAATCGTATGCTACTGAATTGCAGCAATCTTCCAGATTGTGTCATTCTTCCAGATTACATCACCCAGTACTAAATTCTACGTGATTTTACGTAATAGTAGAACCTTCCAGATTGTGTCATTCTTCTATTTTTAGTCATTCTTCTATTTTTAGTCATTCTTCCTAAAAATAACAATTGAAGCCTGACAAAACGCAAAACAGGTATTCCCGCAACTCCATTCCTCATCGCGGGCGCGGCAGCTAAAGAGGGCGCATGGTCAAGGAAAGTGGTGGTACTGTAGTAGAACCAATCCGTACATTGTACATGTACAGTCGTAGTGCCGTACCAGGTATGGGTACGCTCCTACCGGTTCCGGCAGTACCGCTTTTCTTCTGTGACTGAGAGAATTTGCTGGGGTCTTTCCAGGGAATATGAGAAGCAAGTGTTAAATAATGAATAAATCCCAGTGTGATTTGGGAAAGTGAGAAAAAAGGGCAATCAGAAATCAGATACAGAGTACAGTAGATCTTCTGAGATCGAGTACGTCATAAAGAACATTGTTGTGGCATCAATTAAGATAGAGAGAATGTTGGATTTAATTGTATGACTTCATTGGGCACATCCATGACTAGCGATAAGCCAATATTGTTGGGTATTTAAAACACACCGAAAGTGATTTGCCCCTAAGACATTAATGCTGAGGAGTTTTTACTATTGGTGTCCTGTACTCCAGAAACAACCAGTTTCCAATGAATTAAGTGGTTCATGTTGACTCCTTAAGTCAATAGGTCTTATATTATTGTACCTAGTTGTACGTACTAGTAGGCTAGTAGGGAGGGGGTGGTATTAATACTAGTACAGTGTACCGGTACCATCGAGACTTTTGGAGAGCATTGCTCATTGCTGGTGGCCAAAAATACTGGATTTTGTTAAGTGCCACCCTTGAGACGGCCGAGCGAAGCTCGATTCGAGGTTCGAGGCAATTGCTCTAAAGCCGAGTTTTTGTTTCTGAGGATGGACGTACCCACGACCGTACACCCTGTGTTCATAATTTGTATTCTCAAAAGCTCTCAAGCAAAGCAAAAGACAAGTTACTAAAACCTACCCAGTTTTCATCTGTTATTATCGCTCGCAACGTACAAGAATGGTTGGAATCATGAAAGTCAGTGGCGGCATGTCGAAGAAGTCTACGAACTTCATGTCGGCCGTCCCCGAAGCAAAGGACGAAGAAATGGGCAAGGAGCTCGAGTCGGAGTTCGACGAGTCGGAAATGGACAAGGGCACCGGGGTTGAGTCTAGCACCGAGGAGATTGCCGCCAAGGAGAACAAGGCTGTGCTCTGGAGCAAGGCCTTGGTTGTTCTGGTGATTGTGGTTGTCGCGGCTGCCATTGGAACCGTTACGCTGAAATTCATCCAGGCTCAGGAGGAGAAGGCGTACCAGGACCACGTAAGTATCAATCAACACGGTGCATGTTGCAACAAGGTTATGTGAGTTTGAAGCTCAACTTGCCTCCATTGCAACAGTTCGACAAGGTCAGCAGGGAGCTGGTTACCTTCTCTCAGACTCGTGCACGAGAGATCTTTGACAACCTCGAGGCGTTCAGCGCGCATGTGACTTCTGTTGCTGCCATTGAGCATATGGTTTGGCCTTTCGTTGTCATCCCCGACTTTCAAGTCCATGGTGTCGTCGCCAACACGATGGTAAGACTTTCCGATAGCTTGCTCGACTCAACAATCGAGAGGCACGAGTCATGCTTTCGACTAAACTCACATTTGTCTTGTTTGTCCGTCTTTTGAAGACTGGAGCTTCAATGCTTACCATCAACCCCATTGTCAAACACAAGGATCGTGAAGCGTGGGAGAACTTCACGGCTGAGAACCAAGGCTGGATGGTAAGGAGGTTTCCGCTGACTGCTCGGAGATGGCTTGTCTGCATATCGTTGCTGATTGTCTGCTTATTCCGTTGCCCTCCTCCCTGCAGGCTGAAGCACACATGTACGATGACGAAGTCAGTCCTGGGCTCTACACGGATGAGCGTTATGAGATACGCCGCTCGGGCAACGTCAATCGGACCACCGAAAGGATCTCTGCTCCCTCTCACAACAGGACCTCCACAAACAGAACCTCCACAAACAGAACCAGGACGTTCAGCCGCGACACCGGCCGTAGCGATGACCTTTGGAATGTGACCGGGATCAAGCCCTTCATTTGGGAAGTGAACTACACGGGTATGCGTGCGGCCAGACTCAGTGGCGGCAACTGGTCTCGATCTGATTTTGAACTTCCTGCCAAAAAGGCCAAGGAGTACTACCCAGTGTGGCAGCGAGCTCCACTGGAAGACTTCAACCCGAACATGAATGAAAACTTTGCTGCCAAGGCGATCTTCAAGAAGGTGATCTCGGCAATGATTGAAGCGAATCGCCCGGTCCTCACTGAAGCCATAGAGGGTCGATTCCTTGATGGAGACTACGACAGACGCTTTGACCCCCACACTCAGACCGAACCCCACAGCTACTTACTCCAGCCGATCTACGACTCGCTCAAGAACGACCGCCAAGCCGTCGGAGTTCTATCGGCCTTCTTCCGGTGGGGTCTCTTCTTCAAGAATGTTTTGCCCGAGGGCGAGGATGGTGTCATGGTCTTCTTGAACGGTACTTGTGGCCAGTCGTTCACCTACGAGCTACAGGGAAAGAAGCCCGTCTACCTTGGTCAAGGGGATCTTATCGAGCACGATGACAGGGACATGCGCGTTCAGTTTGAGGTTGCTCCATTTGCCACGATAGAGTCCAGTGGAAACAAGACTTACTGCCAGTATCAAGTCGAGATCTATCCCTCCGCGCAGTTCAAAGCGAAGCACTTTACCAACGATCCTTACTTGGTAAGTACGAGAGAGAGGATATGATGATGGTCGTCGTTGCCTCCAACATGTGCTGACCCCACTCCGTCCTTTTATTGCTTTACCAATAGTACGCCGGCGCCGTGGTGTCCTGCTTCGTGCTCACTACATTGGTGTTTGTCATCTACGACTGCATGGTTAGACTTCGTAACAAGAGGGTCATGGAGACAGCAACAAAGGTAAGTCAGCTCGAATTGTGATCCAGTGAGATGCCTCTGTACCACTGACTAACCTCTGTTCTTGCCCCTTGCATAGTCCCATGCCATCGTGTCGCAACTCTTCCCCTCCAACGTGCGCGATCGCCTCATGAATGAAGTTGCGCAACAAGAAGAAGACAAGCAGAAGAAATCGTCCAAGAATGCGTTCCTAGTCGATTCATCTCGGAGCGCAGACATCACCTCCCCCTACAGTCCCAGTGAAGCAATTTTCGGATCGAAACCCATCGCCGATTTGTTCCCCGAATCGACGATTATGTTTGCTGACATGGTTGGTGAGTGCTTTTGAGGCATTGTTTGCGTGTCTGCGTGTCAAGCAAACACCTCAGTTCCTCACAACCTAATTGCCTCGTTCTCCAATCACCCACAGGATTCACGGCGTAAGTTTACTTCACATCTATTCATGACGAAGGAAGTAACGATATCGAGCTCTCCTCACGTCCTTACCTTCATCCATGATGATGTCCTTTTGTGTACAGTTGGTCCAGTGTTCGCGAGCCTTCACAGGTGATTTAAATGCGCCGGTTCTCCTAGTTGTCAATTCGATCTCCTCATCTCACCCATACCGTATTTGCTGCACAGGTGTTTTCCTTGCTTGAGACTGTCTATCACAGCTTTGATGCTGCAGCGAGACGCATGAGGGTGTTCAAAGTTGAGGTGAGTCTTGAACCCCGATAGACCCACAGCTCTCTATCAACGCTGGTCTTATTCCAACTAATCCTTTTACCGCCAGACGATCGGAGATTGTTATGTTGCAGTTTGCGGTGTCCCCACTTACAGAAAGACCCATGCCACCGTCATGGCTCGGTTTGCATGTTTTTGTGCAACCAAGATGGTCGACCTCTGCCGTGACTTGGAAATGTCCCTCGGACCTGGTACTGATGCTCTTCGAATGCGCGTCGGCCTTCACAGGTAGGACATTGACACATCTTAGGTGCTCGCTTTTGTCAATCGCAACGTGCCCTCACCAACCGTCACACCGAACTCCGTTCCAACTCCAGTGGTCCTGTCACGGTAAGGACTTTGCGGCTGGCCCTGCCGAGGACTTCGAGCGAGCACGAACTGACACTTTCAACTCATTCTTCCTCTTGACTATCTCTTCAATCCTAGGCCGGCGTCCTCCGTGGCGACAAGGTGAGGATTTGTTGCAGAATTACCGCCTCGATCCAAGAAGCAATCCTCTAACAATGCTTTATGTGGTTTCTTTGTCCAGGGCCGGTTCCAACTCTTTGGTGACACCATGAACTCCGGTAAGCATGGTCACAGTGCAAGGGACGAGGAGGATACACGGACGTCTGCTTTGGGATCTGGTCTGATACCGTTTGCTCTTTCAAACCTCTCACAGCTGCCAGGATGGAGTCCACAGGGGTCAAAGACAAAGTGCAAGTGTCCCAAGCAACAGCTGACCTGTTGTTTGCCAGCGGCAAAGGCAAGTGGCTGACCGAGAGAGAAGGCGGGGTCGAGGCCAAAGGGAAAGGCAAGATGAAGACATTCTTTTGCGATATCCGCGAGGAATCCGTTGGTACAGGTTCCATGACAATGTCGACGACCAGCTTTGACGACACAGCGATGGTTTCTTCTTCGTTCCATAACGTACGATCAAGTTCCGGCTCCACCTCCCAGAAGCAGAATCTATCAAGCCCATCACTCTCCAGCCCCTCCACCCAACGCTTGATTCAATGGAATGTTGACATCCTGTCGAAGCTGTTGCGACGTGTCATGGCCCGTGCTCAGTCGAAATCTTCCAAGTCAACCATCTCGAGGACTTTACAGAAGAACATCCGAGGCTCTGCGAACTCAGGCACCCTCCTCGATGAAGTGAAGGAAGTGCTCAATCTCCCCAAGTTCGATCCCAAGGTCTACACGAACCACGTGGACCCTGAATCCATTCAGTTGTCTGACGAGGTTAAGGCCCAGATGATTTCTTATGTCACAGACATTGCTGGGATGTATTCAGAGTCGAATTCCTTCCATTGTTTCGATCATGCTAGCCATGGTAAGACTTTCTTTCTGGTGATCCTATTGGGCATTTGCCTATTCATATGCGAAGCCTCAAATTTAACCGATTCCCCTCTCTTCTTCATTGTGGTTTGCTCACATTTCACAGTGATGGTAAGAAATCGTGAGCTGTCTGTCTTTAAAAAAACTGAAGAAGTCTCGTCACCCACACTAATGTTTCGGATCTCTCGTTCTCAGATGTCCGTAATCAAACTCATGAGCCGCATCAACTCTCCCATCGAAGTGTCAATGAACGATGGTACCTCCAACCACAAGATTGCCGAAAACTTGCATGATCATACTTTCGGCATCACTTCAGATCCACTGGTAAGCAGCATTCAGGCTTTCTGGGTCTCAACAAGCAGTGCAAAAGGAGGCTCACGTTGTTCCTCCGTTTGTTTGTCCGGTTGCCTCCCCTGTCCATAGACGCAATTCTCGGTTGTACTGGCAGCGATGATACATGATGTTGACCATCCTGGAGTTCCCAACTCGACGCTGGTAAGCGAGAATGACCCAATATCAATCAAGTACAGTGGGAAGAGTGTGGCGGAACAGGTACGTAGAACCAACCTCGATGCAGTTTCGGCTGATGCCGCTTCTTGAGACACTCACAGACCTTGTGCTTGCTTCTCTGCCGTCAGAACTCTGTTGAGTTGGCATGGGAACGCCTCATGCTACCCCAATATGAAGCCTTGCGAGCCTGCATCTACACCAATGACGAGGAGCTCGATCGGTTCCGACAGACCTTGCTACAATTGGTGCTGGCAACAGATGTCATCGACAAAGACCTCGGAGCCAAACGCAAGGATCGTTGGGCCAAAGCCTTTTCACCCGAAGGTGCTTCCGAATCAGCAGAAACTAAGGAGGACGCCACCAACAGGAAGGCCACCATCGTTTTGGAGCACCTGCTTCAAGCAAGCGATGTGTCGCACACAATGCAACACTGGCGTACGTATCGAGTACTACCTTGACTGTTCGGGATGTTCTTTCGACTTGCTCACCCTTTTTTCGCACCCTTTTATCCTTGTTTCACAGAGGTCTATGTCAAGTGGAATGAGCGCCTATTCCAAGAGATGTATTCGGGATACAAGGCTAGTAGACTTGCAAAGAATCCTGCTGAGGCATGGTATGAAGGTGAACTCGGATTCTTCGACTACTACATCATCCCCTTAGCGAAGAAGTTGGAGACTTGTGGCGTCTTTGGAGTGTCCAGCCATGAATACCTCTCCTACGCTTCAATGAACAGGGAGGAGTGGAAAAACAAGGGAAGGGATATCGTCAAGCAGTACCTTGCCAACATCAAGGCTGAGGAGGCGGGTCGATTAGAAGGATCTGAAGAGAGTTCCGTCGACACCGACGTCGACACCTTCACCGACGAAGTCGCAACAAACGACGCCGCACCTGGCCACAAGATCTTCGATGTTTAGGCTTGGTCGATCCTACCTTTCTTGGACAGCTCTTGCGCAATGCAGCTCCCCCCCCCCCAAAGTTCCGCGAAAGGCTACATTTTACACAATGCATATTTTAACCGAATGAGTCTCATAAAGAATCAGCCACCCACCTAGCTAGCTAGTAGCCACCCCATTTGACCTATGTAGCCGCACGTTGCCAATACGAGTGAATTGAATCACAGGTTTCGGGGCGGAAATTTTTCAAAGAGCCAGCTAGCATCTTTGGTCTGGTCGTGTTCCGAGTTCTGACTTTTGCGCTGGGTAGGGGGTGGCAGGACACTTTCGCTAGCTAGCTACTGTTGGTTCTTTCAAGGATGCATATTGTTGAAACGGCTCTCCAAGAGAAGGAAGCCAATTAGTTGAGTTACCAGGAGCCAGGACAAGCAGCAAATGCGGCTAGAGCTCGCCCTCTCCAGAGTTCGAACGGTTGCTGAAGATGTTACTCCCGCCAGGAAAAACCGCTGTTTCGTTCAGCTCCACTACGCCAATATCATTGTTCGATTCTTCATCTTCTTCCCTGATCACGGTGACAACGCCGCCAGAAGCAACAACGAGAGGCTCCCAATAGCGACGCTGGTATTCGTAGATAGAAGGTTTTTCCAGTTTGTCCGAGGTGACGTTTGCTTGAAACTCACTGAAGTGTTCTTTCGCGTAGGTCCCATTCGGATTGAACTGACAGTAAAGTCCACCGTAGAAATCCGAACATGTACACTTGTGAAACGCTTCCAGAGTAGTATTTGGAGCGATCCTGCTTTGAAAGTCGTATTTTGCGCACTTTCCTTTGCGCCCGCAAACGGTGCGATCGTCCTCACATGGAACATTGAGACATTCGAATGTTCCTTGGGATTCAAAAAATATTCCAAACGCACTTTGGCTACCAGTTGAGTAGGAATCTCGAACTTGGAACATTTGCAAGCCCGTTCCGGTATGGCTGTCTGTGACCTCGCTGAACCATTTCAGTTCTAGACCCAGCACGCTAATTTTGAAATAACAATAAAGAAAAAAGTTGAACTTGTAGCTCCTAAGTCTTCAACACCAGCAACTTCAGAAGCATATCTTACTTATCCCAATAAGCGTGCAAACTGCAGGTGGTGGAGAAAGTGGTCAGCAAGTGCGCAGGTCAATGACCCGATAAAACAACCAATTCACGGAGAGAGCTATCTGAACTTACTTCTGCTGCAGTCTGAACTCCGTCTTACCACCACCGACATCCACGACATATCGGCTCAGATCCTCTTCACACCAAAAGGTCATGAAGAAACGTCGTCCTGCATAGAGGTACAGTTCGTAGCGTTCTTCTTTCTTACAGACGCTCGCGTCAACTGGTGTCTTTCTGTAGTAAACAGGTCGCTCATAAATTTCAATCGGACTGCCATCGTCCTCGTTGGTCAAGAGCTCAAATGGTCCGTCGAAGGAATACTCGTAGGAAGTCTTTCCATACTTCACAAATGCGAGCGCGGGACAATATGGTGCCTCCACATTGCAATGTCTCCCTTGCCACCCTTCGTTGCACTTGCAAACCTTGTCTTCACCACACACCCCGTTCAGACTGCAATCGCTGGGAAGTTCGCAGCTATCCGATTCGATCTTTACTATGGAATCGCTGACTATGCCGGTCCAAACCTTCCAATTCTGAGGAACCTTTTCGAGGCTGTATTCTTCCGTTTGTTCCGACACCGCCAACCAGCCCAATTCACAGACATCTCTTCCTTGTGTGGCATTGCCCAATCCCAGAATTGTGTAGACCCATGTAGATTGTTCTTCGCAATAGTAGAAAATCGAATAGGCCGAATCGTTCCTGTAATTCGCATCTCGCTCCACGTAGATTGGTCTTCCACCGTGCCGCTCGAGCTTGCCATCGCGTTGGACTATCTCATAGCTACCACTAAAAAAGGCATACTCCAGAGTTGCTGTTCTGTCATAGGATGACAAGTCTCTCGCGGTTGTACCATTCAGTGCAAATTGTGTTGATCTCTTCAATTTCAGTTCGTCATCACCAAACCGCACAACCAGCCGCGGGCTTACTGCCTGCTTGAGGTAGAATCCTTGGGATTGGGCCAGTCTCACCTTTGTCCAGCACGCAAGTAGTGGGATGAGTGTCAAGCAGAAAAACACAAAGACAAGTAGAGCCCAATAACGACCTTTCTCTCGTCGATTTTCCAATTGTACGGATTCGACTTTGATGGTCATTCGTTGCAACATTTTTCCTAGGTATCCCCTGTTGGTCGAGTGACGAGTCGAGGACGACAAGAGGCAATGGTTAGGAACTGCCACCCCAAACCAGGTCAAAACAAAAACAAAAACACCCATCGCAGCGTACCATTTCGCGAGCCGAAATATCATGTTATCAATGTAGGACACAAACTCCACGGCTGAGGCATAGAGAAAGACACGAGAGAAAACGATCAGGGACTGTTGGCACATCTAGCTAGCAGAAAGGTTCCACAATGTATGTACAGTACAGTACTGTACAGTACAGTACGTACCAGCAAACGACTCAAAGATTTCCAGGACAGTGGAGGAACCAACAATGAAAAAGAAACTGACCGCCACATTCAGCAGCCCTGTGAAAGACAAAGAAAAGTTTGCTGTAAGCAAGGCGAAACGTTGTCTAAAAGCAAGTGGAATTTTCTTCACGAACTTACCAGTAAGAAATCTCAACGTGTTGGCAATCCACCATTTGAGGGGTGTAGCTCCTGGGAATCTGACACTGACTCTTTCATCATGGCCCACCACGATCAGAGCCTGGTAGAGAAAGTGGTTGTTAGTGGCGCTAGCACGGCAGTCCTTTCCCAAACATAAGACCTCGTACTTACCTTGAGTGACACAAAAATATCTTCCTCTTTGATGGTAGCTACCAAGAGAGACACAAACTGCGCCACTGCCACGGTGGTCGGGATATCCACGGGCACTTCCAATGGGAAAAATACCACTTCTTTGTGCACGGGTGCTTCCGCCGTCAGATCGGCAAAAATGAGTCCCAAAATGAACATTTGCAGCAAAAACACGCCCACCGTGACAAAGGTTGTCATGGAGCAAGTACGGGCCAAGTAGAGGAGACTGTAGAGATCTTCTTCCAGTTCAAAAGATTCTTCCTTTTCCTTTTCTTCCCACGTTCGATCGTGAGGAGCTTCACTCTTGGCGCGTTTGTTCCCGGCTTCTTCGTCGTTGCCGTAAATGTCGGTCGAATTGTTGATCTCCGATGCCTCCATGGAATAGGATGTCTTGTTGGACTTGGGGACAAACGGAATGTCCATGTCCGGGATCGGCACGGATGGCACTTTCGGAACTTTCGGCATGACTATGCTTGTGGTGTTCTATCTATTCTTCTGCTGATTTCTACCGTACGGGCTAGCTAGTCTTGCACTCCTGAGTGACCGGGGTGTGTACCGTATTGGATGATCGGATCAGTAAGAGTGGAGGCCTGCTAGCTTGGAATTTGGACCGATGAACCTTGCGAAAGATCGAAAGATCCGGCACTCAACAGACTGGCAACAACAACTCCCAAGAAAACGTCTGATAAGGAGTCCTCTGGCTCTAGCTAGCAAATGGTAACTGCTCCGCCTTGTCCAACCTGGATCGATGTCCTGAAGCACAGCAAAGGATCAGGTCTACCGGTATCGGTTGGAATGGTTGGGTGCAATGGGTAGTTGCTTTTGCTGGGGTGCGCCGGTCTTCGGTCATGGATTCTCATGCCAAAAACGGCGACTTTAGAAAAAATGAGGGACATTTTCATGTTTTACCAATTCGCTTTTTAAATTGTCCAAATGGACCTCCTCACTGACCAAACTCGCCAAATTCTTCCGGACATCACACTCATCACAGGCGAGTGGAGTGACACATTCAACCAGAACAACCTGTCCAACACTGTTGTATTCAACCTCAAGACGACATCATGTACAAGCGCATACCGTTGCAAATTGCCTTTGTGGCCTTCCCCAACCCTGACACTGCAGCGTTTACAGCTGGAGATTTAGCCCTGACACTGTTGGAACGAGACATTTCCTGTTCGAACATTCTCATCATCACCAAGAACACAAACTCCCAGGTTGACATTTCGGAATTTGGAAAAAATGGTCCACTCAAGGGTTTGATTGCCGGAAGCTACGGAGGCACCATTGTGGGGGCTTCTATTGGCGGCATTGCACTGTCGCTTCTGGGACCCTTTGGTATTGCCATTGGGGGTGGCTTGGGGGCGCTTGCCGGTGCCACGGTGGGGGCTGTGGGCGGCACCATTGGTGGTACGGCCAAGGCACTCATGGCCAGGAGTGTGGACAAGAAACGGATTCAATCCTTTGCTTCCTGTCTGGAACCAGAATCGTGCAATTCTGAATGCTTAATCACACTTCTCCAAAGATTGCCACAAGAGCGGACGATTCTGGTTCCAGACAGGAAGCAAAGGATTGAATCCGTTTCTTGTCCACACTCCTGGCCATGAGTGCCTTGGCCGTACCACCAATGGTGCCGCCCACAGCCCCCACCGTGGCACCGGCAAGCGCCCCCAAGCCACCCCCAATGGCAATACCAAAGGGTCCCAGAAGCGACAGTGCAATGCCGCCAATAGAAGCCCCCACAATGGTGCCTCCGTAGCTTCCGGCAATCAAACCCTTGAGTGGACCATTTTTTCCAAATTCCGAAATGTCAACCTGGGAGTTTGTGTTCTTGGTGATGATGAGAATGTTCGAACAGGAAATGTCTCGTTCCAACAGTGTCAGGGCTAAATCTCCAGCTGTAAACGCTGCAGTGTCAGGGTTGGGGAAGGCCACAAAGGCAATTTGCAACGGTATGCGCTTGTACATGATGTCGTCTTGAGGTTGAATACAACAGTGTTGGACAGGTTGTTCTGGTTGAATGTGTCACTCCACTCGCCTGTGATGAGTGTGATGTCCGGAAGAATTTGGCGAGTTTGGTCAGTGAGGAGGTCCATTTGGACAATTTAAAAAGCGAATTGGTAAAACATGAAAATGTCCCTCATTTTTTCTAAAGTCGCCGTTTTTGGCATGAGAATCCATGACCGAAGACCGGCGCACCCCAGCAAAAGCAACTACCCATTGCACCCAACCATTCCAACCGATACCGGTAGACCTGATCCTTTGCTGTGCTTCAGGACATCGATCCAGGTTGGACAAGGCGGAGCAGTTACCATTTGCTAGCTAGAGCCAGAGGACTCCTTATCAGACGTTTTCTTGGGAGTTGTTGTTGCCAGTCTGTTGAGTGCCGGATCTTTCGATCTTTCGCAAGGTTCATCGGTCCAAATTCCAAGCTAGCAGGCCTCCACTCTTACTGATCCGATCATCCAATACGGTACACACCCCGGTCACTCAGGAGTGCAAGACTAGCTAGCCCGTACGGTAGAAATCAGCAGAAGAATAGATAGAACACCACAAGCATAGTCATGCCGAAAGTTCCGAAAGTGCCATCCGTGCCGATCCCGGACATGGACATTCCGTTTGTCCCCAAGTCCAACAAGACATCCTATTCCATGGAGGCATCGGAGATCAACAATTCGACCGACATTTACGGCAACGACGAAGAAGCCGGGAACAAACGCGCCAAGAGTGAAGCTCCTCACGATCGAACGTGGGAAAAAAGGAAAAGGAAGAATCTTTTGAACTGGAAGAAGATCTCTACAGTCTCCTCTACTTGGCCCGTACTTGCTCCATGACAACCTTTGTCACGGTGGGCGTGTTTTTGCTGCAAATGTTCATTTTGGGACTCATTTTTGCCGATCTGACGGCGGAAGCACCCGTGCACAAAGAAGTGGTATTTTTCCCATTGGAAGTGCCCGTGGATATCCCGACCACCGTGGCAGTGGCGCAGTTTGTGTCTCTCTTGGTAGCTACCATCAAAGAGGAAGATATTTTTGTGTCACTCAAGGTAAGTACGAGGTCTTATGTTTGGGAAAGGACTGCCGTGCTAGCGCCACTAACAACCACTTTCTCTACCAGGCTCTGATCGTGGTGGGCCATGATGAAAGAGTCAGTGTCAGATTCCCAGGAGCTACACCCCTCAAATGGTGGATTGCCAACACGTTGAGATTTCTTACTGGTAAGTTCGTGAAGAAAATTCCACTTGCTTTTAGACAACGTTTCGCCTTGCTTACAGCAAACTTTTCTTTGTCTTTCACAGGGCTGCTGAATGTGGCGGTCAGTTTCTTTTTCATTGTTGGTTCCTCCACTGTCCTGGAAATCTTTGAGTCGTTTGCTGGTACGTACTGTACTGTCAGTACTGTACTGTACTGTACATACATTGTGGAACCTTTCTGCTAGCTAGATGTGCCAACAGTCCCTGATCGTTTTCTCTCGTGTCTTTCTCTATGCCTCAGCCGTGGAGTTTGTGTCCTACATTGATAACATGATATTTCGGCTCGCGAAATGGTACGCTGCGATGGGTGTTTTTGTTTTTGTTTTGACCTGGTTTGGGGTGGCAGTTCCTAACCATTGCCTCTTGTCGTCCTCGACTCGTCACTCGACCAACAGGGGATACCTAGGAAAAATGTTGCAACGAATGACCATCAAAGTCGAATCCGTACAATTGGAAAATCGACGAGAGAAAGGTCGTTATTGGGCTCTACTTGTCTTTGTGTTTTTCTGCTTGACACTCATCCCACTACTTGCGTGCTGGACAAAGGTGAGACTGGCCCAATCCCAAGGATTCTACCTCAAGCAGGCAGTAAGCCCGCGGCTGGTTGTGCGGTTTGGTGATGACGAACTGAAATTGAAGAGATCAACACAATTTGCACTGAATGGTACAACCGCGAGAGACTTGTCATCCTATGACAGAACAGCAACTCTGGAGTATGCCTTTTTTAGTGGTAGCTATGAGATAGTCCAACGCGATGGCAAGCTCGAGCGGCACGGTGGAAGACCAATCTACGTGGAGCGAGATGCGAATTACAGGAACGATTCGGCCTATTCGATTTTCTACTATTGCGAAGAACAATCTACATGGGTCTACACAATTCTGGGATTGGGCAATGCCACACAAGGAAGAGATGTCTGTGAATTGGGCTGGTTGGCGGTGTCGGAACAAACGGAAGAATACAGCCTCGAAAAGGTTCCTCAGAATTGGAAGGTTTGGACCGGCATAGTCAGCGATTCCATAGTAAAGATCGAATCGGATAGCTGCGAACTTCCCAGCGATTGCAGTCTGAACGGGGTGTGTGGTGAAGACAAGGTTTGCAAGTGCAACGAAGGGTGGCAAGGGAGACATTGCAATGTGGAGGCACCATATTGTCCCGCGCTCGCATTTGTGAAGTATGGAAAGACTTCCTACGAGTATTCCTTCGACGGACCATTTGAGCTCTTGACCAACGAGGACGATGGCAGTCCGATTGAAATTTATGAGCGACCTGTTTACTACAGAAAGACACCAGTTGACGCGAGCGTCTGTAAGAAAGAAGAACGCTACGAACTGTACCTCTATGCAGGACGACGTTTCTTCATGACCTTTTGGTGTGAAGAGGATCTGAGCCGATATGTCGTGGATGTCGGTGGTGGTAAGACGGAGTTCAGACTGCAGCAGAAGTAAGTTCAGATAGCTCTCTCCGTGAATTGGTTGTTTTATCGGGTCATTGACCTGCGCACTTGCTGACCACTTTCTCCACCACCTGCAGTTTGCACGCTTATTGGGATAAGTAAGATATGCTTCTGAAGTTGCTGGTGTTGAAGACTTGGAGCTACAAGTTCAACTTTTTTCTTTATTGTTATTTCAAAATTAGCGTGCTGGGTCTAGAACTGAAATGGTTCAGCGAGGTCACAGACAGCCATACCGGAACGGGCTTGCAAATGTTCCAAGTTCGAGATTCCTACTCAACTGGTAGCCAAAGTGCGTTTGGAATATTTTTTGAATCCCAAGGAACATTCGAATGTCTCAATGTTCCATGTGAGGACGATCGCACCGTTTGCGGGCGCAAAGGAAAGTGCGCAAAATACGACTTTCAAAGCAGGATCGCTCCAAATACTACTCTGGAAGCGTTTCACAAGTGTACATGTTCGGATTTCTACGGTGGACTTTACTGTCAGTTCAATCCGAATGGGACCTACGCGAAAGAACACTTCAGTGAGTTTCAAGCAAACGTCACCTCGGACCAACTGGAAAAACCTTCTATCTACGAATACCAGCGTCGCTATTGGGAGCCTCTCGTTGTTGCTTCTGGCGGCGTTGTCACCGTGATCAGCGAAGAAGATGAAGAATCGAACAATGATATTGGCGTAGTGGAGCTGAACGAAACAGCGGTTTTTCCTGGCGGGAGTAACATCTTCAGCAACCGTTCGAACTCTGGAGAGGGCGAGCTCTAGCCGCATTTGCTGCTTGTCCTGGCTCCTGGTAACTCAACTAATTGGCTTCCTTCTCTTGGAGAGCCGTTTCAACAATATGCATCCTTGAAAGAACCAACAGTAGCTAGCTAGCGAAAGTGTCCTGCCACCCCCTACCCAGCGCAAAAGTCAGAACTCGGAACACGACCAGACCAAAGATGCTAGCTGGCTCTTTGAAAAATTTCCGCCCCGAAACCTGTGATTCAATTCACTCGTATTGGCAACGTGCGGCTACATAGGTCAAATGGGGTGGCTACTAGCTAGCTGGTGGGTGGCTGATTCTTTATGAGACTCATTCGGTTAAAATATGCATTGTGTAAAATGTAGCCTTTCGCGGAACTTTGGGGGGGGGGGAGCTGCATTGCGCAAGAGCTGTCCAAGAAAGGTAGGATCGACCAAGCCTAAACATCGAAGATCTTGTGGCCAGGTGCGGCGTCGTTTGTTGCGACTTCGTCGGTGAAGGTGTCGACGTCGGTGTCGACGGAACTCTCTTCAGATCCTTCTAATCGACCCGCCTCCTCAGCCTTGATGTTGGCAAGGTACTGCTTGACGATATCCCTTCCCTTGTTTTTCCACTCCTCCCTGTTCATTGAAGCGTAGGAGAGGTATTCATGGCTGGACACTCCAAAGACGCCACAAGTCTCCAACTTCTTCGCTAAGGGGATGATGTAGTAGTCGAAGAATCCGAGTTCACCTTCATACCATGCCTCAGCAGGATTCTTTGCAAGTCTACTAGCCTTGTATCCCGAATACATCTCTTGGAATAGGCGCTCATTCCACTTGACATAGACCTCTGTGAAACAAGGATAAAAGGGTGCGAAAAAAGGGTGAGCAAGTCGAAAGAACATCCCGAACAGTCAAGGTAGTACTCGATACGTACGCCAGTGTTGCATTGTGTGCGACACATCGCTTGCTTGAAGCAGGTGCTCCAAAACGATGGTGGCCTTCCTGTTGGTGGCGTCCTCCTTAGTTTCTGCTGATTCGGAAGCACCTTCGGGTGAAAAGGCTTTGGCCCAACGATCCTTGCGTTTGGCTCCGAGGTCTTTGTCGATGACATCTGTTGCCAGCACCAATTGTAGCAAGGTCTGTCGGAACCGATCGAGCTCCTCGTCATTGGTGTAGATGCAGGCTCGCAAGGCTTCATATTGGGGTAGCATGAGGCGTTCCCATGCCAACTCAACAGAGTTCTGACGGCAGAGAAGCAAGCACAAGGTCTGTGAGTGTCTCAAGAAGCGGCATCAGCCGAAACTGCATCGAGGTTGGTTCTACGTACCTGTTCCGCCACACTCTTCCCACTGTACTTGATTGATATTGGGTCATTCTCGCTTACCAGCGTCGAGTTGGGAACTCCAGGATGGTCAACATCATGTATCATCGCTGCCAGTACAACCGAGAATTGCGTCTATGGACAGGGGAGGCAACCGGACAAACAAACGGAGGAACAACGTGAGCCTCCTTTTGCACTGCTTGTTGAGACCCAGAAAGCCTGAATGCTGCTTACCAGTGGATCTGAAGTGATGCCGAAAGTATGATCATGCAAGTTTTCGGCAATCTTGTGGTTGGAGGTACCATCGTTCATTGACACTTCGATGGGAGAGTTGATGCGGCTCATGAGTTTGATTACGGACATCTGAGAACGAGAGATCGAAACATTAGTGTGGGTGACGAGACTTCTTCAGTTTTTTTAAAGACAGACAGCTCACGATTTCTTACCATCACTGTGAAATGTGAGCAAACCACAATGAAGAAGAGAGGGGAATCGGTTAAATTTGAGGCTTCGCATATGAATAGGCAAATGCCCAATAGGATCACCAGAAAGAAAGTCTTACCATGGCTAGCATGATCGAAACAATGGAAGGAATTCGACTCTGAATACATCCCAGCAATGTCTGTGACATAAGAAATCATCTGGGCCTTAACCTCGTCAGACAACTGAATGGATTCAGGGTCCACGTGGTTCGTGTAGACCTTGGGATCGAACTTGGGGAGATTGAGCACTTCCTTCACTTCATCGAGGAGGGTGCCTGAGTTCGCAGAGCCTCGGATGTTCTTCTGTAAAGTCCTCGAGATGGTTGACTTGGAAGATTTCGACTGAGCACGGGCCATGAC